ACCTGTAACCCAAGCTTCAAGCAGGATTTCTGGGGCTGGCAGGATTTCTTGGGCTGGCTGGCTTCCAGCATAGCAGAAAATTCTTACTTCTAGCCTGCCTCAGTTCCTCACATGGGTAGAAATTATTAATGGGCAGGGAAGAGAAAGGAAGAAAGAAAAGGAGACAGGCCATGTGTGGACAATAGATGCTTCTTGTAATGAAATGTATCTCACATGTTGTATATGAAAGGGTAACACAAATAAGTTGCTCACTTCAAATTAAAAGCTTACCACAGAATATCCTTTTTTCACATCAATGAAAGACCACGTAAATTTGAGAGAACCACCAAAATTATGGTAAGAACAATGTGAAAGTTTGGTGAAGGTCACAGTCTGAAGTAAAGTCACAAGTAAATGTAGATCAGAGTGGATCAAATACCAATATTCACACTGCCCATTGGGCTTGGTGGATAGTGAACATTTGAGGAGGAATTCATGTGCACATTTGTGTGAGTTCCTCCACTGAAATCTTGAACTTTGAGGAGCAGATTATAAAGTGTAGTCAGATCTACTCTTCAGAGCATAATTATCCTGATACTCAAACCACATAAAGACCCAACAAAGAAAAAGAATTACACATCAGTTTTCCTTATGAACACAGGTACAAAAATTTCTCAACAAAGTACCTGCAAACTGATTTAAGAACATGGTATATACTCGCTCATATATGGATTTTAGACCTAGAGCAAAGGATCACCAGCCTATAATTCACACACCAGAGGAACTAGGATACAAGGTGTCTTCTAAGAGATTCATATAAAGTCCCTCACAGAAGGGGGAAGGGACAAGTCCCCCAGAGCACAGGGGAAGTGGGTGGGTGGGGCAGTGAATGGAGAGAGTAGGAGAAAGAGAGGGGGAGGAGAGAAAGCATGTGCGACTAAGTGCAACTAAAAAGATTGAGTCAGGGTAGGAATAGAAGATGAGAGAGAGAGAGAGAGAGAGAGAGAGAGAGAGAGAGAGAGAGAGAGAGAACATAAAAGAGGGAGCCAATATTGGTTTGAAGAGAAAATTGAACCCAAAGAAAGGTCTAGAGACCTACAAGACTGTCACCAACTAACAATTTGAGCATCCGTGGAAAGGCTACCATAAATGTCCTTACCAGATAGTGAGATCAACAACTAAGTTATCTATGGAGCCCTCATCTAATACCTGTTAGAAACAGGAGCAAACACCCATATCTAAAAACTGAGTAGAACCAGAACCCAGATGCAGATGGAGAGGACAAGACCAGGCAGAAGAAACACATAGAGACAGCTTACCTGAACAAGGAGGAACTAACGGCCAATAGACTGATAGCTGGGAAGCCAGCATGGGACTGACTCAGGCCCCCCTGAATATGGGTCTCAGCCAGAAGGACTGAGCAGTCTAACAGACCTCAGACAGTGGAACTAGTGGTGCACAAAAGGACCTTGCAGACACATCCCCCATGGAGGGATAACTGCCTTAACCTAGAGACAGGAGAGAAGTCCTAGTCCCTACTTCAAATGACCTAACAGATCTACATGACCCCACCTGGATGGCATTGCCCTACATGTGGAACTGGATTGGGGGGTGGGTGGGAGGGGAGGGTGGTCAGGGTGCATGTGAGGGGGCAGAGAGGGTAAAAGAGAGGGAGGGAGGAAGGGAGAGGGAACTGGGATCGACATGTAAAATAATAAATTAAATAAAAAAAAGAACATATCAAAAAAGATCATTCACCTTCATAGGCTTCATAGCAGAAATGCAAAGATGGTTTAACACAAGTAAATCCATAAATGTAATCCACCATACAAACAAAATGAGAGACAAGAGCCATATGATCATTACATTAGATGTACAAAAGACCTTTGATGAAATCCAATGTCCCTTCATGTCTCAAAAAAAAAAAAAAAAAAAAAAATCCCTGAGACAGACTGTTGTGCTGGTGCATGCCTTTAATCCTAACACCCAGTCTGCAAAGGCAGGTAGATTTCAAGCTTGAGGCCAGCCTGGTTCACACACTGAGTTGCAGGATAACCAAGATTACACAGAGAAACCTGGCAAGAATTCTGTTCCTGCAGGCACTGGCTCTGCAGCTGCCACTGAAGGTAGCTTTAACTAAACCTCTACCATTCTATCCATAAATAAAACTCAAGACTCAAGTCTGGTAGCTCAGAGAGGTTGAGTAACACCTAGTTAACCTTCTCTCCTTGCTGGCATCTCCAAAAAAGCCTGTTCTTCCACTCAACTAAAACAGAAAAAGCTGCCCCACTCAAAACCCTCCCTACTACTGTCAGTGTGTTTCTCCAGTCTGTGCCTCTCTTCTCTTCCAGATGCCCTCTGATGCTCTACAGTTGCTTTCTGCAACTAGTTGCTAACTCAGCCTGACTCAAGGTTAATTTTACTTAATTAATGCCAATGCAAACTGGAAGTTTACATTGTGATTGAATATGCCACCAAAAGCTAGGATTACCCTCCAGATTATACAAAGAACTCAAAAACCAGAGTATCAAGAAAAATACCAATTTAAAAATGAGCTGTGGATCGTAACAGAGAATTCCTAAAAGGAGGAATGAAAATGGCTAAGAAATATCTTTATAAATGTTCAACACCCTTAGCAATTAGGGACATGAAAATTAAAACTTTAAGACTTCATCTTACCCCAGAAGTCTAAGATCAAAATAAATAAATAAAATGACAACAAATGCTGATGAAAATGTGGGGACAAAGGACCCTCATTCTCATTTGTACAATTACAAAGTGGAGCAGCCACTCTGGAAATCAGTGTAGAAAATTCTCAGAAAGCTAAAAATAGATCTACAAAATGACCCAGCTATACCACTCCTTGGCATATATCCACAGGACTCATCATCTTATGCCACAGATATCTGCTTAGCCATGTTCCGGTTCTCTTATTTGTGTGCTAAGCATCTTAATGTGAGACTCTGATTGAATGAGAGGCTTGGTGGGGAAGAAGGGTTGTTTGCCTGTGTCTGGAAGTCGGGTGTAAACCCAGTCTTACTTTGTGCTCTTGAACCTGTCCATAGGCTGTTGTGTAGACCATTTGCTTAATAGATCTATAGGACAGACCTTTGTGTTTAGCCTTTATGAGTCAGAAACTGAACATCACAGACTATTTTATTCAGTATTTTCTCTATACACACACACACACACACACACACACACACACACACACACACACACTCGTGTGCCTATCCAATCACAAACCCCAGGGATGAATGCTATTGAAGATAAATAACATGAATAAAAATATTGTCCCCTCGGGCAGAGGTCCTTCTTTTCATGAATGTTCATTAATCCAATTCTAAGGGTTGCTCCATTTTAGGAAAATCTTTTTCAAATTTACATAAAGAACATTTAATAAAATGTTACCATCTAAGATTCTGAGACATCAACCTCTGTCAAATTAAGGAATACTGTAAGTATATATCCCAGGAAACCATTAAGCTTTCTGCAAACAGCCTGCAAATCTGAGACATCAGTAACAAGGCTTTGAAAACAGTCCAGATCACAAAAAAAAAAAAAAAAAAAAAAAAGCTAACATTATTTTAAATACATTCTTAATTACTTGACACACAGGACTTCCATTCTATGCTTTCCTGGGAACAATGGTGTATTAATATATGTTCTCAACTTAGTAAAGAACATACATAACACCTCTGTGTCAAGTTAGAGCTTCACTTTTGAAATGGAGTTATTATTATTATTATTATTGCATATGCATGCATGCATGCTATGATATGCTTGTGGAGGTCAGAGGACAACTTTGTGGAGTTGGTCATCTTCAGCTCCTTCTACATGGGTTCTAGGTAGGAAACTCAGGTCATCAGCTTGCATTGTTGGTCAGCAAGTCCCTTTACTCACTGAGCCATCTCATTAGTGCCTAAAGCTTCATTTTATAACTCAAGGCATCATTCATTTTCAAAGCTCAAAGATAGAAATTTTCCCTACTCCTCCAAATATGTATCGTTTAGAAATATTTCATGCAGGTTACATATATTTACGGTAACAAAAAAAAGCAAAAAACAAACAAACAAATAACAACAACAACAACAACAAAAACCATGCTAACCTGGTTTACATAAAGGGCTTCCTCTGATTATAAACCCTTGTAAATGAAGTTTTCGGAATAGGAAAAAAATGCCCAATGTAGAATTCTAAAGCATGTTTGTTTTGTAGTGTGTTTCTCTCTATCCCTCAAACAATAGAAATGGTTGAGTTTGAGTGAAAATACTCAATTCTTCTTTCTAATCTATATAGTTCAAAAGAACCCTTTTTGATGTACAGTGCTTCTCTGTATATCAAAGATGCTTGGCTTCCAGCAGCTCTGTCTCCCCCTCTGTGTTTGGTAAGCTGTGACAATATCCTATGTTCTGTAAGCCCATCGTGTTCTCAGCTGTGGCATCAATGAGTGTGGCCCCTCAACAGCTGGGCAGTGCTCCACTGTTCTTGCACAAGAAAAGTTCTATACCATGACCTGGGCAAACAGAACCAAACTCACAGGTTACACAAAGCCAGGAAGGAGTTTAGCCTTCCAAGAGCACAGGAGTTGTCTGCTTGCCTATACGGCAAGATTTGTCTGACATGTCTAACACTTGATCAGTATGTACAGAACCCACAGAGATCTTAATAGGGACTTCTTAAAACAAACACAAAAACTGGGTTTCTATTTTTATCACATTAACTGGGTTAATTATGACAGTCAATTACTTGTAAATAATTGCACTATAAATCCGTGTTATTATATAGTCCATACTGAACTTTAAAAAAATCCACATAAAAGATACTACCTGTTGATCACTTACCAAACAAAAAGCATTAGCCTTTAGAATAGCTGTGAAATAGGAGCTGAGAGCCCTTCTCATGTTGAGTGCACTGGGTCAGATGGAGTTGATGGAGACTATCACCTCAATATTTTATTAAAATCACTGCCTACTATTACAAATGAGTAGAACCAACACATTACTTTAAGAATTTAGTGGGTGTTTGTTTTGGCAGCACAAATACTAAAACTGCAACCATCAGAGAAGATTAGTGTGGCCCTGTGCAAGGTTGGCAGCCAAATTTATGACACTATGTATGTATGTATGTATGTATGTATGTATGTATGTATGTATATATATATACATATATATATATATTTTAAATTAGTTATATTTTAGTAAAAATTTTGATTTCTGTAAGGTACAAAATCCTTAATGAACATTTCATTAAATATAAAATACAAAAGGACATTGAAGATTCCAGCCTGGCCAATTTTCTTTGTAATACTTATTTAAATAGTGTTATAGTTTTAGCTTTTGCAGTCAAGTAGACCTGAAATTAAACCCAGTAATTTTACCATCTAGAAAACAAGAAATAGCTTCTCTCACATATTCATACACTATAGCTGTGTATGTGCACTTACAAAATGGGAAAAATCATGTTTACTGCCTCAGATAGCTATATGCATAAATGAACGTGTTTGCAATAAGCACAGCATACAAATCCCCAAGAATCATTGCATATTGGTAGAGTAAGCGATAAAGGCCCAACAGGAGATAGAAATTAGGTAGACAGTTTAGGGCAAAAAGACTTTCAAGAAAAGTACCCAGTTTTCTCTAGACAAAACCCAAAACTTCCCTTGAGCCCCTGATAGCCTCATTGTAGCCAGAGATGCCAGAAATTGGGAGGGGGGCTTTGATCTCTAATTTAGTTCCTAAATGATTTTGGGGTCACCTCTTCAGAGGTGGGTGTATTAGACGAAGCAATAAAGGTCCATTAAGGAAAATCTCATTTGTAAGAATAGAATTGCTAACACTCCAGTTTGGCCAAGTCAATCACTTAGCTAAAGGACCACCCCTAGGAAGACAGCTCACAGTAAGCATGGTAAGGATGTAGGCAGAACAAGTCCTTTTAGGGAATACTATATTCCTTCCTAGAACACCTACCCCTAGAATTGTAGTTTACTGGTTTGTAGCCATGCACCTTTGTACACCTGCCCACTTTTCTGAATTACTCAGAATAGTGTATGTTCCTTCCCTCCCTCCCTCCCTGTCTCCCTCCCTCTCTCCCTCCTTCTCTCCCTCCCTCTCTCCCTCCTTCTATGCATTTTCTAAGTAGATACTGCTTACCACTTTGGGCCTCCCCAACATTTTAGGCTTTCTTACTTTTTCCATAAAGCTTCCTCCCAGCCACGTGGATGCTTGTTTGTTATGTGTCTGACCTTCATGACAGGACAGCTTAAACAGCATACCCTCCCCACCCCCATTCTCCTCCAGGAAGCTGTTGAGATTTACAGCTTGCCTCCATGGGTTTTTTTTTTTTTTTTCTTTTAAACTCTAATAAAATTGTCCTTGAGCTTCCATTTAAGTCAATTCTTAAATTATTTATTAATTACACTAAGAGCTCCAAGAAGTGGATCCCAATTTCCCCAGTATTAATTTAAGACTGTGCTTTGAACCTGCAGGTCCATCTTCCAGTTACAACCACCCATCAGCCTAACCTTTTCTACTTCCCAGAGACAGCTGGAAAGGAAGCAGTTGTGTTTCGTGATGGCTGAATCCCAGTTCGCATCCTGTTGTTAACTCAGGGGAAGTTCACTTTTATTCAGGATCTGTTTAAAGGCATGCCAGTGCCTGGTCTTGTTCTGTTGTGTATCCCCGTTCTTCTGATGCCCACACCCTGCTTATCCTGTTAATGCACTCTATCAGGCCTGTCCACCTCTTTACCAACCCTAACCCGTCAATGTCCTGGACACTGTCCTGGACCTCTGTTCGATTCCACCTGAAACTAAAAACATCTAGCATTGTCCCTCTCATATATTAGTTAATAAATGTCCATGTAATTAGTAAGCACAACTTTGGGCAAACTATCTGAAAAAAATTTATAAGTGCTGATGTTGTAACTAGACAGAAGTGATGAGTCAGAATTCTACAGCAAGGTGTTATGAATTCTAGGAAAACATTCTATTGATTTCAAGGCAACTACAGGTCTATGGAAGAACTCCAAGTAGTTGATTCTGACAGGGAATGCCCATGCTTGAAAGAGAGGAAGGAAGAACTTTACCCTGATGTGTACTCTGCATAACTAGTTGTCCCTCCTAAGCCTGTCTTCATGAACTCACGAGAATGGGAATAGTAGGAAATATCTACTATGGTTGCTCTTTACATAAATGTGAATTGAAATGCTAAGCACTTGTCTAATGTAAAAGCTTTTTTACACAGCAAGCTTAGCATCATGGGCAGAAGCACAGCAGTTGAGCCCTGTTATTGTACACATAGTAAATAAGTCACAGCAGGGCATGAGGGGTGGAGGTGGTAAGAGTCCCCTTTAACCCTGTGTACATTGCTGCTCTGTGTCCCCCATCTCAATACCCCTTAGCCTCTAAGAAGTGTGTCATGGATGTAAGAGGCCATTTTCAATCTAAACCTTGTTAGAGATTAATAAGCAAACATTTTCTTCCTTATTATGCAATTTATCATGATGAAAAGTACATTGGACTCCTCAAGGCTACATGCTGCTACATTTATTTATTCAGAGCTGTGTAGAGAAAAATCATACTAATCTTTGTGACTTAAATTACTTACTTGTGATCTAAATTACCTACTGAAAACCATAGGACTTATGTCTCTTCACATACTATCTGTAGATAAGGCATATATACATGTTTGCTTTGCTGATAGAAGCTTGATGTGAACTTATTTCAAAAACAAAATTGTAAACTCTAAAACTAAAATGAAAGCTACTACTCATTCCAGGTAACAAAACAGAGTATATAAAAACAAAACAGAGCATATAAACTTGTGAAATTGGGTTTTGTTATATTTGAAAACAAACTATATTTTTGGGTACTTAAACATATTACATGCTTCTCCAGATAAACCAAGAGAGCTTCAGTACCTGCAGCCCATGCTGCATTCTCCTGTGGGTACACAACAGTGAGTCAGGAGGAGGCTAAAGGCAGAAAATATGTCCTGAGATCTGCACAAAGACCAGCTGCCTTCTAATACTGGTGCAAACTTATGGGCCAACATTCCTTCCTAATTCCAAAAGTCACCTTAGAAATATCTACTGTCCTCCTTTATCAGAAACTATTCTGGTCACTAATCTATAAAGCTACACATTTGCCAGCTTGTAATGTGTTGAACACTGGGACCATCACAACAGCATCTCCACTTACACAGCTACTAGGACAGTAACTTCATCCATGTTTTCAATGTTCTGGATAGTTTTTATTTTCAACTTGACACAACCTGAGTCACCCGGCTGCCTCTATGAGAATGGGCTGTGGGCATGTCTGTGGGTCATCTTCTTGATTGCTAACTTATGTAGAAGGACCCAGTTGACTGCGGGCAATACCACCATCTCTAGGCAGGCAGTCATGGGTGGTGTGTGTGTGTACGTATGTATGAATGAAAGCTAGCTGAGCATGAGCCAAAGCCAGTGCAGGGCATGAGCAATCAGTATTCCTCCATGGTTTTGGCTTCAAGGTCCTACCTTGACTTCTCTCAGTGATAGATTGTGACTTGGAAAATGTAAGGGAAATAACCCCTTTCTGTCCTCAGTTGGTTTTTGACAGAATGTTTTATCACAGTAACTGAGAAACAAATGAAAACACTGAGGACGTGCTAACCACTCCTCTAAGTTCTTTGCAAACATAATCTCATTTAGCACCAACCTTTTAAAACAGATGCTTTAATTCCACTCATGTAGAGAGCGAAACCAAAAGGTGACATTAGAAAACATGGAGGTGTGAAAAGAGGTAAGAAAGGAAAGCATCTGTCTAGGGTTGCAGTGAATACCCTCCTCCTACAGTTAACCTGGGGACACTGGGCAACAGATAGCTAATCTGTAGGCAAAGCTACAGCATTGTATTCTAGCCTTCAGATGCCTCTCTGATTTCCACTTAAGTATACTTTGCACATCTAGCAGAAAGACAGTTGGCCCCCAAAATCCTGTAACCAGAGGGAACCAGGGCATAAGAGAAAGTAGTCTTAAAGCAAAGAGAAGATCATTTTAGTGTTTAAAAATGTCAACAATGATGACATTGGTATGTCATTCATTTTCACAAAGAGAGGCACCATGGGACAATGGAGGAATTTCTAGCCCTTTTATTCACTAATATGAGATAGTTTAAAAGGTAAATAGAAAAATGGAAAGCTTGTTTGCATAGTGCTGATTATAATGAAAATTCAGCCACTATGAAAAACAGTTTGGTGGCTCCTGAAAAATTTAAACATGGAATTATAAGTCTTAGCCACTTTGAAATTGAAAATGAGTTCTTACATTAAGCACATATGAATGTTTACAGTAGCTCTGTTCACAAGAACAAAAGGTGAAAAATAGCTACACGTCTATCAACAGATAAACAAGACACTGTCTAACCATAGGTAGGATGGAATTCAACTAAAACAAAATAAAACACACAGTGAAATACGCTGTAATGTGGACGGATTCTATAAGAGGAATAAGCAAAAGAAGTGAATCATGAAAGATTACAGGATGCATGGTGTCATTTCTGTGAACTACCTAGGACAGGCAAATTTAAGAAAGGCTGGAGATTAGTGTTTCCTACGGCACACAGACAGAGGAATGGAGAGAAAGTGCCTAATGGACAATAGTGTCTACTTGGGGTTAGCATTATTGGGGACTGGTAGTTGTCATGGCTGTATATTCTCAGCTCACTCGTGTTGATAACTGCCCATTTCATACCACATGTATAATACAACCAAAAGAGAGCTCTGTTCAGGAATCAGGAGACTGGATTCCAACACAGCACCAATGCCCATATTTACCACCACCACTCTTAGCCAGCTCACCAGCACCTGTTCCTATTCACTTCAGGTTAGCAACTCCTTCTGTACATTTTCCTCTTCAGTTATTTTAAAGTGATGGTTATGATCTATTAATGCATTTCATTTTGTGTGTGTGTGTGTGTGTGTGTGTGTGTGTGTGTGTGTGTGTGTGTGTGCACATGCATATGAACTGCACCTGGGGAGGTCACAGGACAACTTGTAGGAGTTTGTCCTTTTCTTCCATCATGTGGGGCCAAGAGACTGCCAGCCTTGGTGCAAGTATCTTTGCCCAGTGAGCCATCCTACCTTCC